AGATGGTGATTCCTCTGATGGATCTAGCAAAAGTACATTGAAAACTGTCTGGCTTCATCATTTTAGATGCCATTAGGAATATTCATGATTCATGGGACGTCAAAATATCAACATTAACAGGAGTTTGGAAGAACTTGTTTCCAACCATTGTGGATGACTTTGAGGAGTGCAAGCCTTCATTAGAAGAGGCAACTGCAGATGTGGTGGAAAAGCAAAAGAACTAGAATTAAAAATGGAGCCTAAAGATGTGACTGAATTTCTGCAATTTCACAATAAAATTATATTGCATGAAGAGTTGCTTCATGAAAATCTGTCATAGGATTTTGAATGGAATTATACTTAACTTGCAGATCAACTTGGAGAGAACTGATATCTTTATGATATTGAATCTTCCCATACATCAACATGGTATATGTCTTCATTATTTAAGCCTTTTGCCATTGTCTGCAATCAAGATTTATAATTTTCTCCATAAACATCTTCAATATTTTTTGTTTAATTTATGCTAGATATCATATAGTGTTTTACCACTGAATGGAAAGCTCTTCTAAAATTACGTTATCTGATGATTTCAAGTATATCAAGAATATTATTGATTTTTGTATACTGACATGATATCCAGTACATCTATAGATATAGATTGAGAAGTACTATGAATGTGAAATGTTATTAATAATAATAATAGCCGGGCGCGGTGGCTCACGCCTGTAATCCTAGCTCTTGGGAGGCTGAGGCGGGCTCAAGGTCAGGAGTTCAAAACCAGCCTGAGCAAGAGTGAGACCCCGTCTCTACTATAAATAGAAAGAAATTAATTGGCCAACTGATATATATATAAAAAAATTAGCCGGGCATGGTGGCTAATGCCTGTAGTCCCAGCTACTCGGGAGGCTGAGGCAGAAGGATCGCTCGAGCCCAGGAGTTTGAGGTTGCTGTGAGCTAGGCTGACGCCACGGCACTCACTCTAGCCTGGACAACAAAGCGAGACTCTGTCTCAAAAAAAAAAAAAAAAAAAAATAATAATAATAATAATAATAACAACAGTTATCCATTCATTAAATACTTTGAGGTACAATGCTAAGCACTTAAATAATTTTATTTAATCCTCAGAAGAACATTATGATGCATGTACAACTATTGCCTTATTTTATAGACCAGGAGATTGAGAATTAGAGTAAGAAAAGGAGTAGACTCTTTCCAAGATAAGGGTCAAGAATATGTATATCCTAAAGGGTTCATACAAATAATGGAATATTTCAGAAAAAGGTAAAAAATCTAAATGCACAAAAGAGAAACAAATTATATTTAAGACACTTATTTAGAAGAAAGAATAAGGGTATCTACCTTTGCAAAGTTGCTCCACTATAAAAAAATTTTTTTAAGTAATTATGCAAATTGTATTTGCAGACAGAAATTTTTCTACCAAGTTTAGCACATGCATTATATATGTGTATGCTTAGAAACACTGAGGATAAGTCTAGCTTTAACATATTAAAGTATAATATAAAACTTCCCTTGCATTTCTGAATCTACTTATTTTTGCATTAATAGCATACTGAAATAAATATACAACCTATATTACTACCCAATAAAAATATAGTATAGTTGGACTCAGAGTCAAGATTCATGGTATTTCCTAAAAGGAATAAGAACATTTGTAAGGTAAAAAATTCTGAGCAAAATATCAAAGTGATATGACGACACTTTTTTTTCCATTTATTTTCATTTTTATTTGTATTATGGCAAAGCTTTTAATGTAAATGCTTTGGGAAAAATATTGTTCACTAATGGGAAGTAGGTAGAGACCTTAATGACCAATGTCAGGAGAATTCATTCATATAGCAAATATTTACTAAGCATTTATTATATGCAGGCAGGTTATAATGATCAAAACAAAACAGACAAAAATCCCTGTCCTTATGGAACTCACTAGTGGAAACATCTAGTGTATAAACACACATAGAACATAAGTAACCTAAAATCTGACAAGCATATTTGTGTTCAAATTTATTAAATGAACTAGTAGAAATAAATAAAGAAATGGATGGAGTAAGGTAGTAATGGAGGGGAATGGGAAGGAAATATCAATAAACATAGTCAGTGATTTTCAGTTTAGCCTCAATTATTTCCTTCACTAATTATTTATGTCTACCATTTTTGTAATATCTTAAAAAACCTCATTGGTAATTTAATCATAGAGAACAATATCACATTTACAGTAAACATCTACTACTAAGATATGGTCAAAGACTATAATCACTGTCTTGCATATACTTTTAACTGTCTTAACCCTTTCATCATTTTGCTCTGCAAAACCACAGCTATGGTTAAAGTCAATACACTACCTACTCTGCACCCACAGCCATGCTGGAGATCATGTTTGGAGAACAACTACACTCGTAAATCATGGCCACAAACATTAGGTCATTAATTCAGCACAGCAATCATAGCACATTTCCTTAACCTATTCCTTTTTCTACTCCTGTAGATGACTATCTCACATATTCTCCTCTCTCTTTGAACAACCAACATCTTATTCTCCATCCTCCCTTTTAGCCATTTTGACCTTGCTTCCTTCTTAAGAATCAGCATGTGAGTCCACATATTCACGTGTTCTGCCTTCCCACCTGTTGCTATAGACAACTATCCATGCATTGAGATGCACATCTCTCTCTCCACCTGGACTCTAATTCCATTCCTGTTTGCCTAATCAATGACATTGCTCTAGCAGGTCTCCCTCTTTGTCTTATTACATCATCAAATTTTCATATCTGTAATTTTTATCTTAAAATAATTGACCCTGCTTTTCCGGACAGCTACCACCTCATTTCTTTGCTCACCTATGCAGCAAAATTCCTCAAAAGAGTCTATATTCACTGTCTCCAATTCCCGTTCTGCAATTTTCCTTTAAGTCCACTCCTCACAAGGTTTTGCCTCCATCTGTCCATCAACACTGACCTTACCGAGTTCACCAATGACCTCTGCATTACAAAATCCAACAGTCCATTCTCAGTCCTCTACTTACTTAATATATCTGCCTTCTTGACATCATCAATCATTATCTCCTTTTAGAATATTTTCCACACTTAGCTTCTTGGACACAATTATCTCTGAGTTTTTCCTCACACCTTGCTGATGGCACCTCTTCAACCTCCTCTGCTGTTTTCTCCTGTTTGACCTTATATCAGGATGCAAGGCTCCATCTTTGGTCCTTTTTCCTTCTATATCTACACCCTTGTCATGGTAATCTCAACTAGTCTCATGGCTTTAAATACCATTTATATGCTGATAACCCCCATATTTATGCCTTTAGCCCTGATCTCTCTCCCAAATTCCAAATTCTCATACTTACTTTTTTGTTCCACACCTCTAGTTGAATAACAAATATGTTAAATTTTAAAATGTAACTGCTTATTTTCCATCCATACTAGTATGCCTCTAGCCACAGTCTTTCACATTTTAGTTTATGTAAATTCTATCCTTTCAGTTTCTCAGGCTTAGAACTTTAGAATAATCCTTAATATCTCTCTTTTTCTCATACTCTACATTCAGTCTAGCAGAATATCTTATTCATCTGACCTTCAACCATTAAAATATATTTTATAGTACATGTACATATTTCTCCCATTGCCAACCCCCCCCCCCTTCCCCAGGTCTAAGCCATCATCTGTCTGGGTTATTGAAACAGATTCTTGAGTAGGCTCTCTGTTGCTGCTCTTGCCCACTATAGACACTTTCAATGCAACAGCCAGAATGATCCTTCTAAATGTCAAGTCAAACATGTCACTCCTTTGCTCAAATCCTAAAATGGCTTTTCATTTTTCTCAGAGAAAAGGCTCAAAGTACTACTATGGCCTATAAGACCATATGATCTCTCCCCTGATTACTTCTGTGACCTCATTACTCCTTCCCGCCCTTCCTGATGCCCATCTAACCACACTCCCCTCTTTGCTGTTAGTTGACTGTATCAGGCCGAAATATGCGAGGAATAGCAAGATGATCAGTGTACCTGGAGGACAGTATTAGAGATTGGTCATAGACAGTGTTAGAGAGACAGATAGGGACCAGATCAGGTAGAGCACTGGAGGCCACAATGAAGACTCTAGGTTTTATTCTATATGAGACAAAAATTCTCTGAAGGGTTTTCAATAGGTGAATGTTACTCTGGTTTGTCTTAAAAAGATCACTGGGCATAGTTAATTTTACTTGGGGAAGGTCAAATTTTCATAAATTGAGTATAAAAAAGGAAAAAAGAAGAATTTCAGTAGTCCTGGCAAAATATAATGGTGATTTATAACACAATGATCATTATTTAGGGTCTATTTAAAAGTAGAACTGAAAGGACTTGCTGATGAAGTTCAAGAAAAAGAAAAAAAATCAATTATTAAAAAACAAATTTTGTTTCATTGTCAACATCATCAGATTAAAAACCATCTTAATTTAGCTGAAAAACTTCTCACAATGCTAAGAATAAACTTGCACTTCATTAATTCAACCTCAGTGTAAATCCAATGTAATACCTTATTTATATGGATTTAAAATATAGGAGTAATTACAGGGAAACTTTTTCATAAACACTAGCTACATATAGGAAAATAAAAGGATGTTAAGATTGAAAGCACAGTGTTAGGTCTGAGCCAAAGAAAGAATATATCAAAATATGTCTTCTTTTTGAATATCTACTATCCATAAACCCGTATTCTTATAGGAATTCAATTACTCAAACATTTAACAGCCTCAGTTAAGTCAAGTCTTTGGAACAAGAAACGAGATGACAAATTTTTTAAGTGGAGAAAACTTATCTTGACCATGACCAGGTTGCCAGTTCATAAAGGAGACATATCACTGAAACACTGATCCTATGCAAAAGGTCAGAGATTTTCTCTACTACTAGATCATCTATATAAATCCACTCTAAGTCACCAGTGACAGAAATGCTTTACTTTGATATAAAACATCTAACAAAGCTAAAACAGAATTAAAATATTTTTAAAACACCTTACTCTGGCAGCAGAAGCAAACGTGTCAGGGCCATGAGCTGCATTTCTTATGCTATCTGTTCCAAAGAGGGCTCTAATGCTTCCAGAAGCATCTGTGCGTGCCACCCCAGTGTTTGCAGGTCCAAGCAGTCTTTTCCATTCACATATAGCATCATCTCTTAAAACCTCCATGGCAATAACAGGACCACTTGTAATAAACTGGATCAGCTCACTACAAAATAGGTAAGAGATTAATTTGCCTTTTTTTTCTGTCAACCTAGATAGATATCTCTTTTAACAACAAGGATACATTTAAATTTAAATATTTCAACATAGACAATTAATATTATGATCTCAGAACTGTTGGACATAGTGAATTTTACATGGGCAGGATAAAATTTTAATAAATTGAGAGTCTTACAGTGATTCAAGTCACTAATAATGTCAAATCAATTACTGTTAGCAGAAAAATCACTGTTGGGTTGCATTAAGACTATTTCATTGACTTAAAATGCATATTGCTGATCTATGTTTCTCCCGTTACTCTAAAAGGTACAGAGGATTTCCTTTTTATTTTCATGTGGTTTACCATTGCAGTCTAGTACAATTTCATAATAGAGAAATTGATGACAGTGATAGATGCCTTATAATATATTTTCAGTAAGAATTTATTTCATTCTTTTTGGGTAGAACTATAAGAATTCAAAGACTGACAAAGACTTCTCAATCAATAAACACTGAGTTAGTTTAGTGATAAAAAAAAAAAAAGAAATCAACAGGCCTTCAAGAAATATCCTTTATTAGAGTAAAAGCTACTCTAAATACTCCTAAATTATTAAAGCATTACACATAGGTTCTTAATTAAAAATCCAGCACAGAGTCACAGTCCCCCAAGGTATAAAAAACAATACCTCATTTTATTTTTTCACTTCTATGAGTATACAAGGCAGCAATGATAAATTTAACCAAAATAAGGGTTACCCTCCCTCTTCCTGTGTTAAGCAGCAACAAAGCACTTCTTAAAAGTAAGCCCATGTTTCTCTCTCTTCCAAAGTAAAGAGAGAATAGGACCCTCCAGGAGAAAGGAGCATGGTGTGACAGGCCTGCCCTTTTGTGCCTCTTAACGACTATTTTACACAGTTCCTTCAGTAATGAACCATATCATATGAGCTAACTCCCTTAGTACTTCCTTTTTAAATCACTACAATTCATTTTGGAGAGTATTTCTAAGAAATAGCATGTACAAAGAAGTATTCATACCCTATGCCCTAAGAGACCCACAAGAACCTCCTCATATACATACTGCTAGGCCTTGGCTGCCAAAACAAACAAAAACCCCAAACCAACCATTAGATTTAAGGAACCCAAATGCAGGGAAAATACTACATATCAGAATCTGTGCTATGAAACAAGATTTTTCCCTCAAGAAATTTATAATCTAATGTCCTGTTAATACAGAATTCTCAAAATATGGAGTAGAATAAGCCTATAATGTGAGTGTGGCCTGTAACAATACAGGGAATGGTATGACTGATCATAAGATACTGCTTCAGCTTCATGAAACGATTTCCAATTACTTCAGCTAGTCTTTTGTTATATTTTTCCCAATACATGGCAACTAGTTAATTCATCCATTTAATAAAATTTACTACAAAGAATTATATATAAGACATTAAACTAGGAGTTGTAATTCAATGTTACAAACACATACAAAGACTATAACAAATAATAATTTCTACCAATTTCCTAGAAAATTGTATATATCTATTCTAATAAGGCTTAGAAACATTTTATAATGCTTCATTTTAAATAATTTATAACATAATAATTTTCTTATATAAAACTTAGGGAAAAACCCACTACTCTATGTAGGATACCAAATGGCATGTCTATTGTAGCAGTTTGACTAATACAACATTTTTCTTTATTAGAAATGTAAATACTCCTTTGTCAATAGTAATATGAGGCTGCACAATACTCACTTAAATTTAATTATGTCCCAAATTTTTATAATATTGATTCTGTTTTAACATATATTATTTGCTATATTTCAAGAAACAAAATACATATCAAAGTATTTAGTTGAAATACACGGGTTCTATGAATATTGTTTTATGTATACAAGATTACCAAAATAGGAGAGTTTAAAAGCACAACAAAATATTCAACATAAAATACTATTTTCACTCTAATTTTAAACCACTGAAATCTGAATAGAAAGCTATCTTCTTTGTAACTTAATGAAATTATCCTATTTACTACTGGTTAAAGCTTAAGATAATTAATGATGACATATAAGAATTATTATCTAATGAAAGAAAAGAGAAAATAATTCTTAGAAAACAATCTGTGCAGTTTCAAGAGGTTGCTATGGTCCTTTGAGAGATTATTCTCATGTAACACATTTTTGAATTGTAAAAATATAACTCTTTATTTTCTAGGATATCCTCCATTATATATACCACTAACCCCCAAATTAAGCACCTACTTATAAAAGGGCCTTGATTGGTGGTCTACATGAAAATCCATTGCTTCTTTCCTATAAAATAATCAAAACGACAATAGTTAAGAATTACAGAAGAAGATAATTATTTAGTTTACATTAATAAAGTGAAATCCTTTAAACTTATATTTATTTAATCTGTATGTGAATTAATAATTTTCACCAAATATTCTGTCAAATCCCTTCCTTTCTGAAAATATTTTGCAAGTATGAGTCATACCTATGTTAAATGTAAAATTAAAGTAAATATAAGAGGCAATATTTACATTTGTACTCATGTTATATATCATCTATCTTCCTTTTCACCAGCATCTATAACATTCTAGAAACAAAGTTTAACATTTGGCCAATATTGTTTTCTTTAAAGTGAACATAAATTACATGAAAAAATGCAAAGCCTTTATTTATTTTTATTTTTTTAGAGACAGGGTCTTGGTATGTTGTCCAGGCTGGAGCACAGAGGGATGATCATGGCTCACTGTAACCTCGAACTCATGGGCTCAAGCAATCCTCCCACCTCCACCTCCCAAAGTGCTGGGATTATAGGGCATGAGCCACCACGCGTGCCTGGCCCAAAGCCTTCTTCTAATTCCAAATTTGTCACTTTCTTCTACAGGCTTTAAACTTGAGAGTTTAGGCTAGAATTTTAATTCGCTAGTTATAGTTTTCTTTCTTAGTTAGATCTCTCCAAAGGAAAGACTAAACACTTGTGTTTTTAAAAGCTGTGTGACAAATTATGTATGTTAATGCATTCTTATTGGTTAGTAATGGATTAAAAAAACTAATGTTTTAACTGACATCACCAAAAAAGGGAAGAATATGGAGATATTCATAATTAAGAATTTATTAATGGTCAGATATCGACCACACAGCAAAAAAAAAAAAAAAAAAAGAATTTATTAATGGTAATACAAATTTACCTTTTAAATTTATATTCCCACTAAAGACTATCTATAGAATGCACTGAAACATCACTATGTATCCTATAAATATGTAAAATTATTATATGAAATTTACAAAATAAAATAAAGAGAAAAGAGGGAAAAAATAAAAGAAAAAAAAATTTCCTGTAGTCCTCAGATAGACTGAGGCTGGAGGATTCCTTGAGCCTAGGAGTTCAAGTCCAGCCTGGGCAACACAGAGAGACTCTGTCTCCAAAAAATTAGTTTAATTTAATTAAAAAGTTAATTTAGTCTCCTCAAAAAAAAAGAATGTCTATAGAGACAATAAAAGAATAATACATTTTAAACTGATTTAGCTGAAAAGTCTAAGGAATTTTTTTAAGCAAATCAGGTGTCTCAAAATTGTATAGTTTTCTTAAAACCATTAAACTGAGGTCACAATATTGACAAATAAACATCAACATCAAATACTTTTAAAAATACCAAAGAAGTTAAAGTGTTCCTTAGCAAAGAATCAACATTTCAGGCTTGAAAACTAATTTGGAATGGAATGCAATGTTTTGGAAGACTTTATCAGCCTATTATAAAAGGAATTCACATAACAGTTTATATCAGGGCATATGCTTATTCTAATCAAATGTACTGAAATATTCCCTTTGGCTATGAAGAGATTACTAAAATATACTATGCCAGTATAGAAAATAAAATTCATCCCAAGACATGGAGAGAGGAAGAAAACTCATACTTTTTCTAGAGTCAATTATATCCATGATTAAATTACTATATTTATTTTTCACAATATATCAAAATAGGTATGATCACCTTTATTTTACATATGAAAAGAATGAAGTTCAGTGTGGTTACATAGTTTGTCCAGGTCAAAGAGCTAGTAAGGGCAACACGAGGGAATTAAAATCCAAATCTCTCTGACTGCAAATTTCTGACTGTTTATGTTCTTTCTACTATCAACTGCAGGAAAAAAAATTCTAGAGGGTAAGGAGAAGAATTCCAAAAAATGAGATACTGTGTATATTGTTTTATATGCTAAAATGGGATAAAACTGAATGTCTAAAAAACTCATGTGGGAGTAAATTAGAAGAGTTAGCAGAAGAGTACTAAAATGACCAATTCTAACCTTTCAAACACAAAAAAACTAAACCACTAAAAAGGAAGAAATAACCACAATCTTTAACATCAATGAAAAGAAAAATCTTAATACATTACTAAAGTGTTTCAATGTTTCTTCCAACATGTCACTGATTCCATAGTTATCTCCATTCGAAATCTAAAATTAAAACCAGGATGAAAGTTCATAAATTGTTTCCTACCATTCTTATCTAATTCCTCCATTAAAAGGTTTAGAAGGAGACCAATATAAACAAGTACATCACTAACAAGAGAAGTTTTTTCTTATTGTTTTGTTGTGGGGTTTTTTTTGTTTGGTTTTTTTGGAGACAGGGTCATGCTCTGTCGCCCAGGCTAGAATGCAGTGGTGTGATCACAGCTCATTGCAACTTCGAACTCCTGGGCTAGAAATACAAATGTAGATAGAACTTAGCTGCTGCCTTCTAGATATCGTCATAATGTAGGAACTGACATTTGAACAAATAATTTTAGACAAGATAAAAACATCAAGAGAAACTCCTAATGTGTCTTACTGGGTGCGCCAACAACGCAAGGCCCTGACTGCTCTTTATCCTAGACATTCCTCAAGGTTGTGTTTACAGTGAACAACCTTGAGGGATGAGGTAATAAATCTCTTTAGGACAAAAAAGCATGTTTGTTTATTGCTTGCTAACGAAACAGTTGGTAACCCAAGTTCACTCTTCCTCAGTAGTGATACAACCCACTGTTCACACAGCCTCCTCCCAGGTCTATATCATTTTATCTCTACAGGACATGGAGGCAAGGGGAACCAACACAGTTGGTAGCCCATCTCTTCTTCCCACTGGCACTGCCCCTGTCCAGGCCTCCATTATCTGTCCTATGTTGGACCACAGCAGTCATCTCCTACTGATCTCTACTTCTAGTCTTTCTTCTTAATAATAGACTTTTCTTCTTTCAGGCAGAGTTGTTTCTCTAATGTGCAAATCTGACCATGTTACTCTTCTGCTTAAACCTTTCAGTGGTTCCCCATTGTCTTCTGGATCAAGTTCAGACATCTTTGCCTGACCTATGAAAATGATAAAAGGAAAGAGGTGGGGGTGAGGGGCAGTGGAACACACTGTTAAAACACTGTGGACACAAGATGGTGGTTTACAATGAAATTTGACTTCCTAAGGGGCCAGTAAAAAGGATTTGATGAGCGATTAGTAGTCAGAGGTGTGGTCAGAGGACTACGGAGAGAGAAAGTGTACGAGACCAAACGAATGAATATGTATGTGGACAAGTAATTAGAAGGGTTTGTATTTGTGGCCCTCCAAAGGATGGAGAGCTTTATAAGACATGGATGGAATTAATAAGCCTCAAGTTTCCAAGGAAATTTAGCAAATTTATTCCTTGTGGTGCTCTTAAAGTGTCAATTGGTTCTAGCATCTTTCCTCATGTGCTATGGAGCCATTATAATAAACAAATTGCATCTTTATCATGGGAAGTCTGATGCCAAGTTATCAAACCCTAGAGTTGTGGAGACATAGACTCAAGTAACCCTCATAACTTTATGATATAGGTACTTTTATATCACAACTTTATAATACAAGTACTCTCATTCTGCAGATGAAGAAACAAGCACAGTGGTAAGTTGTTCAGAGTCAAATACCTTGTAAGTGGCACAGTTACAAGCAATGTGCCTCTAGACTGTGCTCTGAAATGTCAGCCTCCTGCCTCTCTAGAAAATATATGAACTGGGAGATCTTAGGGGAAAAATTAAAATTAAGCATATGTTGTTTTGGGGATAAAATTGAGGGTGTCTTGTAAGTTTTCTAGGCATCAGGCAGATCAAAGCCAAGTTGAATGTCCACTGCTATCCATTGTCCCGATTCTCAAAGAAACAAAACTGCAACTGACCCATAGAATAGATACCCATAAAGTGATGATTTCTTGAAGCAGTGAAAAGACACCTGACCAAAAACAAACAAAAAAACTAGTGGAGAAACAAAGAACACTACAGGAGCTGGCTCTGCCTAACTGCTACATTCATGCCCCTACAGACACTCCGTCACATTCAACGAGCCTCTGCCCTAATAGATGCCCCATCTTCCTTCTCCACCTTCCTGTTGCAGTCTTTGTTTTGCTTACTTGGGAGAAATGTTTTAAAAAACAAGTGTCCAATGTCATAGAAAGATCATTTGTGTGCTTTTTCTGAAAGGCTCTCTAAAAAAACTGAAGAGAAGGTTGTCCCAATCCTCCATTCTTTGTTTGGATGTTGTGAATATTTTCCTTTCCATTGCCAAGGTAGAAACACAATTTTACCAGGGGGTTAGAGTTACTTACTTAGTGACAGAAAGGGCTAAATAGGATGCGTAAGTCTTATTTTCACTAAATAAATTAGAAAATATCTGGTCAGATAGGTTGGATTGCTTTTCATAGTAAATAGGTATACTTACCTATTGTATATATTAAGAGGAGCTAAGGAGCATCCCCTTGTCAAATAGAAATAATCAGATATTCATTTCCTCTATCACTTTTATGTAGTGTGATAATTATATATTAAGAAGAGTTTATAATTATCAAGCATTGGTGTTATAAAAGCAGATGAGGCTATGAAAGATAATAAATAGTTAAATGAGGCATATATAATTTGACAACTTCTAAGTATTTATAGTTGGATGGTTATTTATGCATCCAATTACCCATTGTCTTGTTGTTCTCATTCCAGTAAGATATTCTGTTCTTTGCCATTCAGTGGGAGATTTCTTATTTTAAACAATGACATGAAAGGTAGATCATTTTTTAAAAAAGAATCTAGACATTATGTAACTAAAAATGATCAACAAATTACCTTGAAATCACCATCATTTTGAGTTTGGTTATAGTAAATCCAGCTTCGATTATTATTTCAATTATTTCTCCAGCCTTTGATACTGCATCTGGTTTAATCAGAGCTAATGTTCTGTAAAGAAATAAAGAATAGATTTGAAAATATATACAGTTCAGCAGTTTTTATTTATAATTCCCAAGCAGTGGTAGTGCCCTTAATAATTATCCTAGATTATCAAAATTTGAAATTAATTATATGGAAAAATATATTAAAGACATCTTTTAAAAGCCTACATAACGTAAGTTTAGTATTTTTCCCAAAGAAATCAACATTAGAAATCAAATTTAGGAAAACAAAAAGCTTAGGGAAAAAACATTAAAATTTTTATTTTCAATATGCCCATATTAAAAAATAGCAATTTAAATTTTCTATTTCTTAAAATACATTTTATACAAAGGACCAATTTCTAAAAAGTTGCACTAAATATATTAATAGCTTGTTTTTTGTTCTCTTAGATTTCAACATACGTATGCTATGCAGTCAGTTCAGCATTGACTTGGAAATAATTACAAATTCTTCTCTTGAGACTCTTTATTCATAGCATGGGAGATACACAAAGAACCAAATGTTTTCTTACTCAACAATGTATATGAATAGCAAACACCATGCTAACTTTTAAAATTATCTTTTCCTCCAAGAGGATATATCAGAACAACACACTTTTCCTCTCTGAAGTCTCAGAATTAATAGGAATTTGGAGAGGGAGATCATCTTAGTCTCCTCATTTTACTGATGAGAAAGTAGGCACAGAGAGGTTACATGCCAAAGGTTACATGGCTGGTCAGTAGCATGTTCAGGACGAAACACCCAACTCACAGGACTCCCATGTCTATGCTCCTTCCACATCACAAATAATGTTACTATTAATATTATTAAAAAGGGGCATCATCACCAACCCCTCAAGAATAATATTTGCAAATACAAGATAAAACGTAGATTAGTTGTAGCAGTTCAGTTTACATGATGAAGAATTACTGCAACTTTCCCTTCCATATTTCCAGTTGTTCTGACAATACTGGCATTAATTCAAGGAATCCATAAAAGGAAAACAGTTGGCTTTTCACCAACAAGACAACATAGCTGAAAATATAATTAAAATACCCTTACTTACAGTAACTTATGGCTGAGATTTGAAACTGTAAATAAAAGAAATCGTTAATCTTAATCTATTTATTAAAAACTATACCAGATAATCTTTTTCTTTATTTTGAAACAGATGTGTCACTTATATTCATTTATATTAAATGGTATCATAGAAAATACAGTTAAAACTCTTTACTTTTTTGGCCATGCAAGCGAACTCATGCCTGTAATCCTAGCACTCTGGGGGGCCAAGGTGGGTGGGGGTGGATTGCTCGAGGTCAGAAGTTTGAAACCAGCCTGAGCAAGAGTGAGACCCCATCTCTACTAAAAATAGAAAGAAATTAGCTGGCCAACTAAAAATATATAGAAAAGATTAGCCGGGCATGGTGGCACATGCCTGTAGTCCCAGCTATTTGGGAGGCTGAGGCAGTAGGATCCCTTGAGCCCAGGAGTTGGAGGTTGCTGTGAGCTAGGCTGATGCCACGGCACTCTAGCCTGGGCAACAGAGTGAGACTTTGTCTCAAAAAAAAAAAACCAACAAAAAAAACCTCTTTACTTTTTAAATTATTTAAATATCATAAGCCAAACTAATCTATAAATTGTTTATGCTACACTCTGAAACATTTCACTAACCATAGCTCTTAAAGAAAATATAAAACATAGTCGCAGTCAATCAATTTCTGTAAATAAGATATAATGTGAAAAGTCCAAAGCTGATGGAACTTATTTTAAAATATAATTTTATTTTCTCTTTAAATGCCTACAGGAGACAATGGGTTGATTGCATTTCATTACATGATTAATTACACTAAATAAACCCCTCTGTCATATCTTTGTGGCTTAATTGTTTAGTAGGTAATAATCAAATGTATTTTACAGGGGAAATAAGACAGACATCAGGAATCATATATGCTATTTAAAAGTAAAAATAGCACACAAACAAAAGGGCCACAAAAATATTAATATATTAATAGTGCCTCTGTTACCTACTGCTGCCTAACAAAGCACCCAACATGCAGTGGCATAAAACAAAAATTTCTTGAGGTTCTGTAGATTGGTGGGGTAGTGATTTCCCCATTTGGCTAGAGGATAAGGTGGAGGCTGTGCTCAGCTGAGAAGCTAGGCTTCTCTTTCCTGTGGCCTTCCATCCTTAGGGAGGCTAGCCCCGGCTTCTTCATATAAGCCACATAGGGACCAGTGAACATGCATTTATCAAGAGCCCCCTTGAGGCACGTTAGCTGATGTTCCTTTGGCCAATGCAAGTCATATGGTCAAGCCCAGAGTCACTGTGAGAGGAGACTAGACAAGTACATGGTTTCCAGTAGGCATGATTCACTGGGGGCCATCAATATAACAATCTAAATCACAGTAATCCTCTTGCCTGCACTGAGGCAAGCACTGTAGTAGATGCAGCTTGAGATATTTTCAAAAGAAAGCACAGAATTATGAAAATCATTATTTAACATTAAAACTTCTTAGCATTATACAATTGGCCTGCCTTCACAAACTCAGGATGCAGATTTCTGAAAAACAACAATTCTCACAGAGCCATGAAAAAAAATATGTTCTTCATATACCATCAGGCTCTGAGCAAAAACTGCAGCAAATATGTTTGTGATTGACAACAATGGCAAAGTTATTCAGAGCAATCCCTCCACTGAAAACTAAAATAGTGGATATTTTTAAAAAATGTTTTTAAAAGCAAAGATGAATTGACTAGATGGTCAATAGTTATTAGGACAAAAGTGAAAAAAAATGAGGACACAGAAAAGTGAGAAAGAAAGTTGTTTTTGACTTGACATCATTGCTCCTCTGGCAAATTTGAACTTTGGGAGAGTGGACTAGAACCCAAAAGATGATCCTCCCTATAACAATTTGGCACCAAAGGCTACTCCCCCCCAACTCTTAGCATGAAGCACAAAGAACCAGGCAGGCCTTGAATGGCCTGGCAGCAGAAGCTCACATCACCTAGGTAGTCTCAGAACTTCCAATTTTTGAACCTGGGTAATGGTCATACAGATTGTTAATGCCTCCAGGAAACAGACAGAAACAAACACAATATCTCCCTAAGAAGAAAGGAACTTCATCCTGTACCTAAAATAATTAATATATAAATACACAGCACATACATATCATACATCCACACATGACAATCATCATCACACAAAAATAACCCCCTCACCCACACACGAGGGAAAAGACTCATGTGAGGGAGAACCAGAAGAAACAACACAGAACACAGAAAGACGCGCAAATATTTCAGACACTAAAATTAATCAGATACAAACTGTAAAATGACCATGCAAACTATGGTTAAAGGACAAAAAGGCAAGTACAAAATATCATTCAGAAACAGAAAACTATAAGCTATAAATAATAAGTAAATTTGAATAGAATATTCAGTGCCGAAAATAAGAACTAGACGAACGGTTTGACAGAAGACTAGATGCACCTGAAGAAAGAATTCTTCAGAGAAAATTCAGAATAAAGTAAAGAGAAACAAAAAGATACAACATAGATAAGAAAATAGTTTCAAGAATGTAAATGGGGGAATAAAGACATTTTCAGATGTTATACCAACTGAGTTTTCTACCAGTGGAAACACTTGAAAAGAAATTCTTCAAAAATGTAATTTAAACAAAAGTAAAATCATTCCAAACAGAAAGTTTTAGATAAAAGAAAGAATAAAAAGCAAAAAATGGACAGGCCACAGTGGCTCATCCTTATAATCCCAGCATTTGGGGAGGTTGAAGCATGAGGATTGCTCCAGGGCAGGAGTTCAAGACCAGCCTGAGCAACATAAGGAAACCTCGTCTCTGTAAGAAAAAAAAAAATCCTTCCTGTAGTCCCAGCTACTTGGGAGGCTGAGGAAGGAGGATCGCTTGAGCCCAGGACTTTGAGGTTGCTGTGAGCTATGCTCATGATACTATACTCCAGCCAACAGAGGGAGAGAGGGAGGGAGGGAGGGAGGGAGGGGAAGGAAGGAAGGAGAAGGAAGGAAGAAGGAAGGAAGAAGAAGGAGAAGGAGGAAGGAAGGAAGGAAGGAAGGAAGGAAGGAAGGGGACCCAGGAAGGGAAGCGGGAAGGAAAGGAAAGAAAGGAAAGAAAGAAACGAAAAGGAAAGGAAGGAAAGGAAAGGAACAGGAAGGAAAGGAGAAAGGAAAAGGAAAGGAAAAGGAACGAAGAAGGGAGGAAGGGAAGAAGAACGGAAAGGAAAGGAGAAGGAAGAAGGAAGGAAAGAAAGGAAAGGAAAGGAAAGAAAGGAAGGAAAGAAAGGAAAGAAAGAAAGGAAAGGAAAGGAAAGGAAGGAAAGGAAGGAAAGGAAGAAAGGAAAGGAAAGGAAAGGAAGAAAGAGAAGGAAAAGAGAGGAAGGAGAAAGAAAGGGAGAAAGGGAGGGAAGAAGAAAGAAAAAGAGAAAAAGAGAAAGAAGAGAAAGAAAGAAGAAAGAAAGAAAGAGAAGAAAGAGAGAAAAGAGAAAGGGGAACAGGGGAGAAGGGAGAAAAAGGAGAGAGCAGAAGACAGAGAGAGAGACGAAAAGAAAGAAAGAAAGAAAGAAAGAAAGAAAGAAGAAGAAAAGAAAGAAAGAAAGAAAGAAGAAAGAGAAAAAAGTGGAGAAACGTAATTAATGCTGATGTATAAAACAATAACAATGAATCATTAGGGTCATACAAATAACAGATAAAATACACAACAAAATCAGCATATAATTCAGCAAGGTAGAAAATTGCGCTAAACTGTTCTGAGGTTCTATATTTCCAAGAAGGGAGATAATAATATTTAACCTTAGGCTTTAGTAAGTTAACACATTGACTGCCACACTAGAAAAAAAGATTTTTTCCTTGGGGCAACGGTGTTTTATTACTAAAATAGAATAAAAACTTGGAAAACAAAATGATCCTACCTAATTTAATGAAAAATTTCTTTCTTATTGTTTTCTGTGCGTGAATAATATGCAACTTGAAAAATAGTTCACGCATCTCCCAAAGTAGA